AATAAATAAATAAACAAAACAAAAAAAATTAAAAAAATAAAAAACAAAATAAAATGAAATAAATAAAATAAAATAAATAATAATAAAATAAAAATAAATAATAAAATTAAATACAATAATATAATGATACAATAGTAATATAAATATATTATTTTATTTTATAGAAAATAAAATAAAATTAGATTACCTATTTTATTTAAAATGAAATAAAATAAAAAAAAGAATAAATAATATAATGTGATATTAAATAACATAAAATGAATTAAAGTAATAAAATAAAATCAAAAAAATAATAAAAAGAAATAAAATAAATAAATAAATAAATAACATAAATAATAAATTAATAAAATAAAATTAAATAAAATAATAAATAAATAAACAAACAGACAAAAAAACTTTAAAAAAATAAAACAAAATAAAATAAAATAGAGTAATAATAGTTATAAGTATACATATATCAACCCATACGATTAAAAGTAAGAAAGTAAATTATATACAAAATTGAATTACTATTTTAAACAATTTTGAAAGAAAATTTTAATTGATTTTTAATATTTGTTTAAAAGATACTATAATTTATATCTATTATTATTCGAATTATTGTGGTTAAGAGAAGATTTTTCTTACCGCAAGATACCATATTTTTGTCTTTGAAATAAGTTATAATAAAATCAAAGAATCTCTGTATAGATAAAACATTTTTTTTTAATATAAACTTTCTTGATGATGTCATACTTTCCAGAATAATTCAAAAAATTTGTTTTCATCAAGCCAGTTTCCGGTGTAGAAATTTTCATTCCATGTTATGTGTTTTACCACATAACAGCTTTTTATGTATATAAGTATGTATGTGCAAACATATATGAGTATTTGTCATTTTGCTGGCAAATAATACATATTTATTCTCGGTCAAGCAAAAGAAAAACTACAAGTTTTCCTTCTGGTTTCGATTTCAACAATTGCATGTCCTGCATGTCCTGTATGTATGAATTTCTACATGGAATGCAATCTGACTTGGCAACTTGTACTTGATTTCACTTAAAAGAGAGATGCATTTGTTAGAACAGAACTCTTGTGTTTTTTATATTCAATTTTCTGATTTTTATAAGTGCAAATGTGTCGCTTCCGTCACAATTTGTTGTTTGAAGTTTTTTGATGAAAGTATAGTTTCAGAAAGTCCTTAAGTATTGGTTCGTTAAGCAATTTTTCTTGTTTAAAATTAGTAAAGAAGAGAAAAGGACATTTAGTACATTCACACTGTCAGTTCATTATAAATTAAATTTATTAAATTTGGAAAAACTGTACATTTAAAATATTACTTGAGTGCATTACTTCCGTTTCTTTCAGTTTAACAATTCAAATTCCTTCATCATCATTTAATTTTCCTCAAGATAGTTGCCATTTGGTGTTGTCAAAGTTTTGGGTACAAAGTTTTGGGCCGCTAAATTATGTAGAAAATCCGGCATTTGTGAATACAATTTCTTTATAGCAAATATCTACGATACATCACTAATTTATATCCAGGAATTTGATTAACAGTGGAGAGAGCACAAATCAAAAAGTTTGTAAAACAATGTACGAAGTTATGAAATTGTTTTGGAACTCCGCGAAAGTTCTATGAAGATTTGGTTATACCGAAGCAAAATATATGAAACTGTAAGTCAATGGAATTTCAAGTCAAGTTTCATAGTAAATAATAGGGAAAATAAGCATGGTAACTGTCAAAATTTTAATGTCAATAGAAAGTAGACACTTGCAGTGACTGGATCTATAAAGTTAAATCATTTTAATATTATATTCTTTTTGAATCAGAGAAAATACTTACATATCTCAGTAAACTTCGATGAGACTAAATCAAGATAATTAAATACCTATGGTTGAAATACATATAAAAAAGCGTTTAAAGAAATATAGCTCTGCCGTAAATAAATTGGTTTCCTGTTTTGTCAAAATGGATATGGTCAGAATAGAGTAAAATACTTAGCACTCAGAAAAATAATTTAGTTAATTTAATCAGATTTTAACTAAATCTCAGTTCTAAATATTTTTACTCGACTTATCATGTTAGTTTTTATATCTTTTTTACCATGTCAGCTAAAATTTCTCTAACAAAATCATCAGGTCAATTTAACAACTATATGGTTAGAGCATGTTTTTCTGACAATGTACTCTGTATTTTGCAGATCAAATAATTTTAAACATTTATATGCCAAAATTATAAATATATGCAGATAATTCAGTTTTCTAGTTAATACCGCTGCTGTCAAAACTGGGTTACGTAGCCATAGATTCGCATCTTAATGTTAATATTAAATAGCAAGAAATTAGTCTAAATTATCAGAGATTTGGACTGGCGGAAATCCATTTCTAATAAACAATTCATTGTTTATTAGAAATTATACTTTTGTGAGTTCTGTCATAATATGAAGGTTGATGTCTAATCGAACCACCTGAGATCGGCGCTTCTTTTGGAAGCTTAAATATACTACTTCGAGGATAGCATTTCAAGACTATAAAGATAAACAATTAAAGATAAAGATAACAATTAAATTAGACTGTAAAAACTGATTGCGAAATTGGATTCAATTTTATCACAATAGGTAGTTATTAATTATGCTTAAACCAGTCTAACTTAACTTTAGGTAAAATTCTAGCACAATCGTATTGTATTCGATTGCTATATACTATATTTTATTTGCTTACTATATATTGATGGCGACTATAAAAATTTTGTTAGATTTAATTACTAATTTAATAACAATTAAATTTTAATTACAAAACTAGTAAGAATATGCAGTATAAAGAAACTATTATTATTATTTTAACACCTCAAAATTTTAAATATGCATTTTATTATGTGAAATAATTAGTAGGCAAAAACACATTAAATTGTTTAAATATTTACTGTAATAAACTATAACCTTAGGCAATTATTCCACACATCAGAGTAATGAATTAAGGTGGTTTAAGTTTTATTGTTTACTTTTCTTATTAGAACGGAAAATATTTAAAATAATATCTTCAGATATTAAAAGGTTTTAAATTTAATTTTTAGTTACACTGGAATTAATAACAATTTTTAAATTATTATTGCAAATTTTAAATAATTGTATTTACAAAATAATAAATAATTGTAAATACAAAAAAGAAATGATGAACATTACGGCCGTGTGCGAGTTCGAGTAAATTGAGGTAAAGTAAATTGAAATTTCCTAGAGATTTTTTGCACCACACTTAAGTAAATATTTATTTATTTATTGCACTTATTTTTTATTTTTGTTTAAAAATTTTTAAATTTATTTATTTATTAAACATCTCATAAAATTTTCACAATGTTAACACCTAATTTATCTATTTTTTATCTAATTTACTCTATTTACTCGAACTCGCACACGGTCTACTTATAAAATAAATGCAATATTTTAAATATTTTTTACTTGATTTTCTTTATTATTGTAAGTTCTAGTCCTTGCTGTAGTTTACTTTATTTGTAATCCTTAATACATAGAGATAAACAAATTTATTATACCACAAATTTCTATTAATTAGTATAATTACAACCTAAAATTAATATTCAACAACCGTGGAAAAACTTGCATTTAACTTAATTATTAACTTTAAAGCGAATTCATAATTAACAAAGTAGTGCGCATAATTCAAAATAATTTTATGTAAATATAAATGAAGTAATGCTCTTACTTGCTTTATGTAAGGCAATTGAAATTAATTTTATTTTAAAGTAATTTTATGAGTTTTAAGCAAATACAGTAAAACTGTTCCTGGCAAAACAGAATAGTAAGTTGAGGGTATTAAGTGCTGAAGGATTATTGGACTCGTTGCTGTACCATAGCTTCATTGTATTAAAGTTTTATTTATGTTGAAATTCAATATCCTTTCGGCAATTAATATAACTCAATACGTACTCAATTTATGTTCTTTGTAAGCAATTAATATTAAAGTTTACAAATTATTCTTTGAAAGCATGTTTGTTTTATGTAAAAAACAAACTAAAAAAGATTTCAAAAATTAATTTATAAAAAAAATGTTGAAATGTTGAAATGTTGAGTACTTCACTGTTTAATCAAAGGATATTGTATGAATAAATGCTGAAACTTAAGTTGTAGATGAAAATATTTTATTGACAGGCAATAAAATATGCATATTGGTCAGTAACCCAAATGTCCATACACACGTCCACATCCACGTCTACGCCCACATTCACATATACCTATCTACACTTCATTGACGACGTACGAGTTTGAGTGCTTTATATGGTCCACTTGACAAATAAAGAAGAAATCATGTTAAAAATGTTCTGTGAAATCAGTTTAATTTAACAGTGCGGCATTAAGGATGAAGTCCTTGGCACAAATGTTAGTACATTGAAAATGCCATGTTGGATAAGAGATAAAAACGAAGAAAGTAAATATTTTATAAGAAGTATTTAAATTTGATTTCTGTTGAGCAAATTGTAAGTAATGAAATAATTCAGTAATGAAAGGCAAAGGCATACACGTGTGTTGGCAATAATAGGAAAATTGCAAAGGAATCACTTTCAAATAAAAGAAGTGTAATTGCAAATATTTACTTAACTTTACAAGACAAGTTTAAATAAATTCATTTGTAAATATGTGTAAGTATTTAAAGTTCAATATTTGATTTTTAACTAATATTTGCGGTAACATATGTTAAAGAATATGTTAATGTGGATATATGACAGTAAATTTAAAAGAGCTTAAAAACCTTAGTATGTATTTCTTGAATGTGGTTATTGCATTCAAATTTTAATTATTTCAATATTTCTCAACTTGTGAAAAGATAATGAAATATAGTTCTTTAATTTGTTTTCTTTTTAATATTTTAGAAATTAATATTAGATAAAATATAATTAAAAGTGTTT